TTCCTTCAAATATAATATATTTTACTAACCTTAATTTTGACAGCATTCTATTAAATAAATATTTTAAAATAAATAAATTCAGATTACAATTCCAACATTACATAAATAAATAATAAAATATCATTTACGGGCAACAAATTAGAAAAATAAAAAAAAAACTTATATATCTTCCATGACACTTATTTAAATTATACATAAAACAATCCATATATTTTTTAAAATTATCTTAATATAATATCATAATAACAATATCTATATAATTATATTACATATTGATTATTATATTCAGCAGAGTTATAATAAAATTAAAATATCTAAATTTTAAATATTAAATAATTTGATTTCTTATTTATTTCTCACATTTATTGCTCTAATTAACGTAAATAACGGTCATCAAAAAGGTTGGATAAATCTATGCTAATTTTGATGTTGATAATATTGATAATTTTTATTACAATTTTTAATAATTTTATACTAGTAAAAATATATGAAGAGTCATAAATAAATAAAAGACCATACAAATAATAAAATCTGTTTAACAATTCTTAAATTTTCAATTTTATACATTTTACCATAATTTATACTGCGTATATAATAAAAGTTTACCACAAGTGTGCACACGTAATACCATTGTGTATATTTTAAACGTTACTACTTATTGTCTTTGAAAATATACCATTAGTAAACATGGTCTGCGTTACACCGATTTCCATTAATATATTTATATTTTTATTATTTAATTTAGTTTTAAAATAATTATAATTTAAATATAAAAAAATTAGTTTTAATATGATAGAAAGATAAAAATATTAAATGAAAATTTTAATTATTTTTAAAATAAATTATATATATAAAAATAAATATAACAGTTAAAATATTTATTTTAAATAAAATAAATATTTTAAAATAAAATAAATATTTTAAAATAAAATAAATATTTTTAAATTATATTTATGTATTACACAAATTTATTTATATTTTTTATTAAATTATATTATTTTAAAATAAATAAAAATTATAATTTAAATATAAAAATATATAATAATAAAATTTTATTATATTAAATAATATCAAATATAATTACATTAAATATATGATAAATATATTTTTATATATTTGATATATTTAAAATTTTTAATTTAAATTTAAATAAAAACTAAAAGAGAAGAATGATTTTATTGAATACAAAAATTAATTCTTATATCAATTAAAATTATAAATGTTGATATAATATAAAATATATGAGTTATATTTTTATATATATAATTCAAGTATTATAGCATTAACCTTAGCTTGAGCAGTTACTTTTTTTTTTTTCAATAGAATTTGTATGCATCCAATCACATCTATTCATAAAATAAATAAAAATTAAGAAACTAATTGATAAATTAAATATAATTTATATAACAAATTTTAGTAAATTTTTACAACAAAATATCTGTTAAGACGTTATTTTCACGACGACTTTTTAAATCGACTTTTCAAATAATCAAATTATACAAACACAAAATTATGACAAGAAATTATGTTATCGTCATAGTTTAATTCTTTAATAATAGTTGTGACAAAATTACAACATAAAATGATTGTTTTTGACTACAATAAATTTATCTTTATTCTTTATCATTAAAAATTTTGTATGAAATATATTTTTTCTTCTTTTAATATACCATTGAACCCATAAAAAAAATGCTATATCCTATTGAAGTATGTATGTAATTACTCTATAAAAAAATAAAAAAATGAAAAATAAATCAAATTAATTAGTATAAAATTACATGTAAATGATAACATAATTATAATTTATTACAGATAATAAATTTTTTATAAGAAAAATACAAATACTAATATATTTTCATTAATTAATATTATATCAGTATTAATTACCTCTTTTTTACAATATATATTTAGAGTATCGCACAATCGTGATTTTTTTTTTTTATTTTTTAATCATTTTGAAATCATAATGTTAAGGAAATTTCATTTATCTTTATTAGAAGTTGTTATTTTTTTATAAAAGTATGAAAAACATAAAAGCAAATAGTTATTTATGATGAATATAAATTGAATCTACGTATAAATATATTAATTTGCATTGGTGGAAAAAAATAGATTAGATATCTGAATTAAAATATATTATGAGTGGTATAAAAATAATTAAATATTTATAATTTTTTATTTACAAATTTTAAAATATAAAATTATATGATACATTAACTCCATAACATAATTTTAGAGAATTTAAATTTATACTATTGTAAGTTAGATTAGTTAAAAATAATAATAATAGATTTAATATAAATTAATAAGTTAAAAATAATACAGTTTTATACTAAAAAATTTAAAATAAAATATATGAACATAATTTACTGAAATTTAAAATTTTATTGTCAAATGAAATTGTAACTAATAAGCAAAGATATCTTCGCAAGAATGTAATAAAGTTTTCAACTTACCTTTTAATTAAAAATAAAATTGTATTTGTTAAATAAAATTGTATCTAATGAATGAAAATATTTTTTCAAAAATCTAATAAACTTCTCAAGTTATCTATTATTTAAAAATAAAATTATATTTTTACTTTAAGTTCTATTTAAATTTGAGTAGTATTATTTTAAATTATTTTATTAATTAGTTTAGTATATTATATATTTAAATATATACTTTTAACCCTAAAATGTACTTTAAATTGATAACAAAACTACACTTACATAGTTAAAAAATTATTAAAAAATTATTATCAAATGTTAAAAATAGGAAAATAAAAATTTAATAAACTTCTTGAGTTACTCTTTAATTAAAAAATATTTTTTTATTTTAAATTATATTTAAATTTAAATGGTATTAATTTAAATTATTTTATTAATTAATTTAATATAATTTATATTTTAATATGTATTAAAAATTCTAAAATGTACTTTGAATTAATAACAAAACTACACTCTGTCGATCAAAAATTTAGAAAAAAAATTATTATCAACTGTGGAAAATAGAAAAATAAGTCTAATAAATATATACTTTAAGTTGTATTTATATTGGAATGATATTAATTTAAATCAATTTATTAATCATTTTAATATAATTTATATTTCAATATTTAAATTATAATAAGGTACTGTATATAAAATTAAAATTTATTGAAATTAATTATAATATTTTTATAACTAAAGAATTAAAATTATAATTTATTCAAATCTATTATCTTTAAATTGTAGTTATAAAAAATTTATTAAAATTAATAGTTATATAATATTAAAAATGACAGTAATAAAATTACTATGAATGACATTTAATAAAAAATTTATTAAAATTTTTTATAAATAAAAAATTATAGAAAAGTTCAATGTCAAATGTTAAAAATAGAAAAAGAAATATTGAATAAATTGTATAAAAATAATTTTGCAAAAATATGATGAGGTTTTATTCAACATTTGAATGTTATTGATTTAAATTATTTTATTAATTACTTTACTATATTATATATTTAAATATACATTTAAAATATTAAAATATGCCTTGAATTAAAAAAAATACATTTACAAAATTATTATTTTATATTATATATTATTATATTTAAATTTTCAATGAAAAAACAAATAAATTATAATACAGATAAAAATATATTTTTTATTGTATTTTTTTTATTTCCTAATTTTTCATATATTCTGTAATTTTGTCTCCACTTATATAAATCATATGTATATAACTTTTGAAAATGTTCTTTCTATTATTTTTCTTTTTTTTATTAGATTTTTGTATCATGTCAACTGTACAGAACGACCTAATTACATGTATTTTTAAAGTTTATATCTTTTATATAAATTTTCATTTACAACAATTTTGTTATTGTCATTTTTAATATTATATAATTATCAATTTTAATAAACTTTCTTTAAATATAAGATTATAATTTAATAATCAATTTTAATAAGTATGAATTAAATATAAATTTAATTTATAAATTATAAAAAAGATTATAATTAATTTTAATACAGTTTTAAATCAATGTTATTTAACTCTTAATATAATTTAAAATAAAATATAATTTTTTTTTGCAATTGAAAGATCATATGAGAATTTTATTAGATTTTTTACAAACATATTTTATTCAATCATATGAAATTTTCATTCAGTTGAATTAATATTTTTTTTTATATTTTTAACAATTGATAATATTTTTTAAAAAAATTTTAATGTTTGTTTTATAAGTTATCATTTGTAATAAAATATTTTAAAATACAATTCAAAGACAATAAATATGAATTAAATATAATTTTAATTTATAAATTATAAAAATTTTATGATTAATTTTAATTAATTTTTATTTAATGTAACTTATCATAGATTTATTTATAAATTTTGTTATAAATATATAAAATAACATATAAATTTATTATTAATAAATAAAAAATGACTAAATATTTTAAATTTTAATTAACATAAATTTTATTATAAATATACAGAGTACTGAGCATGTGTAACTTATAGAGTAATAAATATGTGTAAAATATACCTTCTAAATTTTATAAATTTTATTATAAATATAAATAGTAATAATATATATATATATATATATATATATGGACAGATAACAGGAAATAAATAATATATAAATAGCAAATTAAAATATAAAAATATATTAAATAAATAAAAATATAATATTTACTTTTTGTTGCTATTCATGGAATATTTACCTTAAATGACATGGATAACATGACTCGTACATTACTCTTCTTACCAGACACTCATTTCCAATTAAAAATGATTTTTCGTTTACTTTATTTATAATAATCCTAATAATATGTTACGTTATACGTTAGGTAGAACAAAAAAAAATAAAGACAGAAAAGGCAATAATATTATAATAATAAAAAAAATAGGAAATTAAGTAAAAAATCTAATAAGATACATAATAATATTAAATATAAAAGAATAGAGTGCTTAGGGAAGAAGCAGTAGTAGGCATATTAAATATAAAAGAATAAGGTGCTTAGGGAAGAAGGAGTAGTAGAAGAGAGAGAAGGGTAGAGGAGGGAGTGGTCATTTTCAAAGACCTACCCCATCTTTATAACATGTCCAATTCTTAGCTTTCATGTGGTTTCTCTCTTTCTTTCTCTTCACTAACATCTCTTCGTTTCATTTCTCTTCAACTATATCTTTTTCTTCATTTTAGTGAGAGAAACTTACTCTTCTCTCTTTTTCACTCCACTGCCCCAGCTTCACCCTTCCCTCGTCTAAAATCGCACTTGTTTTTCTTATTCAGGTACAAATTCATGCTTCTATTTTTTCTAGGGTTTTGGCACATGATATTTTCCTTTTTTTTCTCGCTGTTTTCGTTCCTGGGTCTCTTCAGCTTCTTCTGCGCTGTGTCGTGGGTGTTTTTCAAAATTTTTTCTTTCTGGGTTTTATTCCCTTAGATCTAGCGTTTCTGGGCTCTGTGGTGGGTGCTGATGTGAGTGGTTCTGGGTCTGATCTGTTTTTTGTTTGATTTTGAAGATGCTTTGTTGTGTTTTCTCTCCATTTTTTGTTTTCTAGGTTCGGCTTGGGTTTCAGATCGCATGTTTTTTGTCCTCTTACGGATGTTTTTTGGTTCCCGGTTTGGTGCTTTTGTTTTTGGTGATTTTTGTGATGGTTTTGTTGCAATGTATGTTGAGCTTCTGTGTGGTTTTGTTTTTATGTTTCTTTTTCTTTCGCTTTTCTTGTTTCGTTTATATATGTGTTAAGTAAAGAAAATATACTTGTGTTTTGCTTGGTGCTATATTTGAAGTGTTGTATTCATATTCTGGTTTTGTTGGTGTTTTTGAACTTGTAGGCTGTTTCATATTGTTTATTGATATGAGTTTTGTTGCAAGAAATTTTATTGCATCTGTTTTCATCTTGGGTGGGGCCTTTGGAATATTTAGTTTCATTAATAAGCTGTGGCCTCTGGAATATTTTGTCCCATTAATACGCAGTGAGTAGATGTTACTTGTGTTAATTACTTTACTTTTATTTCAGAAAGTTATTATGGTAAGTGCAACATTTCATTTAATTAGTGTGTGCTCTGTCTTGGGGATCCTTTGAATAATGTCTTGGCTAGAAATGTTGATGTTGGATTGTGTTGTGTTTGTGTTCATGTTCATGTACTACTCATCTTTGAATATATTGGATTATTCACTTAATTTTTCTTTGTTGTGTCATCTGAGTGCAGTGTTCATCATGGTCAGAAAGAAGAGAACTGAGGGACCTAGTGGGGGTGAAAGCTCTGATACCCAACGCCCAGCTGAAAGAAGTGCTCCACCCCAACAACAAGCTGCTGCTGCAGGAGGGGCTGGATCCCAGGGAGGTAGAGGTTGGAGTTCTCAAGGAGGACGCGCAGGTTATGGTGGCGGCCGAGGTCGTGGGATGCCCCAACAGCAATATGGTGCCCAACCTGAATATCAAGGTAGGGGAAGGGGAGGGCCTTCTCAACAAGGAGGACGAGGAGGATATGGTGGTGGTCGAGGTGGTGGTGGTGTGGGCAGTGGACGTGGCGTAGGTCCTTCATACGGTGGTCCATCCAGGCCACCGGCACCCGAGCTGCACCAAGCAACCTCAGTTCCATATCAGGCTGGGGTGACTCCTCAGGCCATGTCATCTGAGGCAAGTTCTTCCCAGAAGCTGGAAATTTCAGAATTGGAACAGCAAACGGGGCAGATGTCAATTCATTCTGAAACTAATCCTGCTCCTCCTCCCTCGAGTAAATCATCAATGAGGTTTCCTCTTCGACCAGGAAAGGGTAGCTATGGCACCAGATGTATTGTTAAGGCCAATCATTTCTTTGCTGAGCTACCTAATAAAGATCTGCATCAGTATGATGTAAGTTCCAACTATAATGATTGGTGAAAATTTCTTATGCTTTTGTTTAACATGCTTGTTTTGCTGCTACTGGTTGTTTAGGTAACAATTACTCCTGAAGTGCCATCGAGAGGTGTGAACCGTGCTGTTATGGAGCAGTTGGTGAGGCTGTACCGAGAATCTCACCTGGGTAAGAGACTTCCTGCTTATGATGGGCGCAAGAGCCTCTATACTGCTGGTCCACTTCCCTTTATATCGAAGGAGTTTAGAATCACCCTCATTGATGATGATGAAGGAGCAGGAGGACAGAGGTGTGCATTATGTTTATGACTGATTGTTTCTTCGTTCAATTTTATCCTCATTTAATTTGTTAATCTTTGGTTTATGTTTCAATGCAGGAGGGACAGAGAGTTCAAAGTGGTGATAAAATTTGCTGCACGAGCAGACCTTCACCATTTAGGGCTCTTTTTACAGGGAAGACAAACTGATGCTCCTCAGGAAGCCCTGCAAGTCCTTGACATTGTTCTGCGGGAACTTCCTACTACCAGGTTGCTGAGATAGCTATTTTATCCCCACTCTGTACATTTTGATCCACCCTGTTGTAGTTGACTTTGTTAACTGGATATTTGGCATTCTAGGTATTGTCCTGTAGGGAGATCATTTTATTCACCTGATCTGGGTAGAAGACAGCCTTTAGGTGAGGGATTGGAAAGCTGGCGTGGTTTCTATCAAAGTATTCGTCCCACTCAGATGGGACTATCATTGAACATTGGTATGTAATAATATCGTAGTATTAGTTTGTACACCTTTTTTCCTTAGATTCTGTGTTCATTTTTCTTAACCTGTTCTCCAAATTAATTTACAATTTAAATGTTCACTAATGGATGTGCAGACATGTCCTCCACTGCATTTATTGAGCCATTGCCAGTAATTGACTTTGTAACTCAATTGCTGAATAGAGATGTATCCTCCCGACCCCTGTCTGATGCTGACCGGGTGAAGGTCAGATTTTGTTAAACCTTATTTCTTGATATTGTTATTTTTGTATCATAGATTTTTTTTTCCAATTTATATATTGTCAGTGAAATAATATAATTGGTACACCATTGTTTGCACATGCTTGTGTTTTAATTTTGTCACTACATGTGCAAAGTTCACCTACTTTTGGCTGCATTGATAATTTTTCTTTTCTTTTATTTGATCTATTGAAGGTGTTTTGCTTTCAGCATTGCTTTTAAAGAAATGGAGATTGGGGTTCTCCCCTAAACTCATGTATTAACTTCCTTCTTTTGTTTCCAAATGACAGATAAAGAAAGCGCTCCGTGGTATCAAAGTTGAAGTAACACATCGTGGAAATATGAGAAGAAAATACCGAATCTCTGGCCTGACTTCACAGGCAACTAGAGAATTGACGTGAGTATTTGTAGTTGTTTTTATTTTAATGTAATGCAGTAATCTTTCTGCTAATTTACCTTTTGGGTTTTGGCTTTTAGATTCCCTGTAGATGAAAGGGGGACGATGAAATCTGTTGTGGAGTATTTCTATGATACATATGGTTTTGTTATTCAACACACTCAGTGGCCCTGTCTGCAAGTAGGCAATACACAGAGGCCAAACTATTTACCAATGGAGGTAATAAGCATACTCAAACATTAGGATTGGCTATTTTGTGCATGTGCTTGTTTTTGCTAATAACATGTCCGAATGAAGGTTTGCAAGATTGTAGAGGGTCAAAGATACTCAAAGAGGTTGAATGAGAGACAGATTACTGCTCTGCTAAAAGTCACATGCCAGCGTCCTGTTGAGAGGGAGCGTGACATCATGCAGGTCAGCAGAATGTTGTCTATTTATTATGTAATTTTCCATTGGTGATATAAATAATTTAATATGTTTTAGCCTTGTGACATTTTGTGTATGATTGTGTTTATATTATTAATCTGTTGTCAGTTCTTGTTTGGGCTGAAAGGTTTATGATGCCATCTGTATGTGTGTACAAGTTATTTTTTCCCTGGGATAATGGATCATGTGTGTATATTGTTCAGACAGTACATCACAATGCCTACCATGAGGATCCTTATGCCAAAGAATTTGGAATCAAAATTAGTGAGAAGCTTGCTCAAGTTGAAGCTCGCATCCTTCCTGCACCTTGGGTATCTTTGTCATGATTTGTTTATTGACTTTTAAACTTGTTAATATTTTTTGTACGACAATTGACATTGTGTTTCCTTCAGCTCAAATATCATGATACGGGTAGAGAAAAAGATTGTCTTCCTCAAGTTGGGCAATGGAATATGATGAACAAGGTATATTCTGGTAGCTGTACATAGACAATAAATATTTCTGTTCATTTTGTACCTTTTCATTTTCACCGTTATGTTCATTTGCATATTGTATTTGTGTAAGATGCTTTTCATTATATTTTTGACACGGATTTTTTCCCCTTCTTTTATGGTCTGAGGTGTAATGAATAGTGCAGTTATATATCTTTGAGGGTTTTTTTCCCAATTGGAAGGGGTTGTGAATAAAGTTATTCTGCAGTTATACTGATTTTATTCTTTCTTTGTCTCTAAATAAAATAAATTGAATATGGTATGGTGGGTTTAATAATCATATAGGTTTATTTGGAGTTTTATAATTCAAGTAGAAGTAGAATCAAAGGAAGCTTGTGCAAGAGCATGTGTTCATTAGGATCTTTTGAATGATTTAACAAGGACATAGAATATTGTGTCAATTTTTTATGCAGATAGTGCCTTGTAAATTTTTGGGTCTGTTAAAGGTTTTCTTTTTTCTTTTTTGGTGGAGTTTGAAATAATCTTGTCTCTGATTTTTTCAGAAAATGGTCAATGGTGGGACAGTCAACAACTGGTTCTGCATAAATTTTTCAAGGAATGTTCAAGATAGTGTTGCCCGGGGTTTTTGTTATGAACTTGCTCAGATGTGTTACATTTCTGGCATGGTATGGATATTCCCTTTACTCAAACTTGTTCTTGTCCACAGTTTACTTGTTTACTTGATCTTTTGTTGCATGTTTGCAGGCATTTAATCCAGAGCCAGTAGTTCCCCCACTTAGTGCACGCCCTGATCAAGTGGAAAAGGTTCTAAAAACTCGATATCATGATGCCAAGAATAAACTGCAGGGAAGGGAGCTTGATTTGCTTATTGTTATTTTGCCTGATAATAATGGCTCTCTTTATGGTAATGGTCCATTGACTTATCTTTGTTACTTCTGTTTACCTCTGATACTGATCAGACCCGTGAACATAACATGTATTGTATGTTATGCAGGTGACCTCAAACGAATATGCGAGACAGACCTTGGGCTTGTTTCACAGTGTTGCTTAACTAAGCATGTTTTTAAAATGAGCAAGCAGTACCTTGCAAATGTTGCTTTGAAAATTAATGTTAAGGTTGGAGGTAGGAATACTGTACTTGTCGATGCAATCTCACGACGCATTCCCTTAGTCAGCGACAGGCCCACAATTATTTTTGGAGCTGATGTGACTCATCCGCATCCTGGAGAGGATTCAAGCCCATCAATTGCAGCAGTATGGTTTTTGCTTTTTAGGTCCAAGCAGCTCAAGTTTGTAGATATTTTTGTGATTAGCTGTGTTTAAAATCATGGATGTTATGACTGTAGGTTGTGGCTTCTCAAGATTGGCCCGAGATTACAAAGTATGCTGGTTTGGTTTGTGCCCAAGCACATAGACAGGAACTCATTCAAGATCTTTTCAAACAATGGCAGGATCCCGTCAGAGGAACATTAACTGGCGGAATGATCAAGTACTCTCTTTCCCTCCTCTCATATGTGAGCTCATTAATGCACATTGGGGGTCGCTAGATTTTAGTTAGTTATAAACTATCATTAATCTCAAGTTTTATAGATTATTTTCTTATATTATTTATTTATTTGGCAGGGAACTTCTTATATCTTTCCGGCGGGCTACAGGACAGAAGCCACAGCGCATCATATTTTACAGGTAGTTTATGATTTTAGGCCTTGGTTGCAGTCGTCATGTTTAATTTTATTGTATATATGGTGATGATGATTTGTTCAATAATATTTGCAGGGATGGTGTGAGTGAGGGGCAGTTTTATCAAGTTTTATTGTTTGAGCTTGATGCTATTCGAAAGGTAATAGTATTATGCTAGGGTCAGCATCTATGAATAATCTAAATGTTTGCTTGTATGCTAACTTTTTCAACTTTACCTTTGCTCACTGCCAGGCTTGTGCATCCCTTGAACCCAACTATCAGCCACCTGTAACTTTTGTGGTGGTTCAAAAGCGTCATCACACAAGGCTCTTTGCTAGCAACCATCATGATAAGAGTTCTGTTGACCGGAGTGGCAATATATTACCCGGTATTAAATTTTTCTATTTGTGCACACGGTACCTATATAATATCTTGTTTATTAACTCTTAACGCAAAATAACACTACTACCCTGGAATTATTGCAGGCACGGTTGTAGACTCCAAAATTTGCCATCCAACCGAATTTGACTTTTATCTCTGTAGCCATGCTGGAATACAGGTGAGTTTTTGCTTCTCTTTTGTTACCTATAATTAGATTTGCTGTTGGAAAATGTTCTTATGTTATTGATAATTTGATTTTACAGGGTACAAGCCGTCCTGCTCATTACCATGTCTTGTGGGACGAGAACAATTTTACTGCTGATGCTTTGCAAACCCTAACCAACAACCTTTGCTACACGTAAGTAATAAACTAGTAACGCGTTACATGAATTTTCCAGTGTTAAAGAAGACATTAAATCTAATGTTCTTTATATTTTATTTTTTTTTTAGTTATGCTAGATGCACCCGTTCTGTTTCAATCGGTTAGTTTTCTCTCAATAACTTGTTTGGTGGATTCATGAGGATTTATGTTGTGTATGGTTATTAACTAATTCTGGTGTTTTCTTTTGTGTATGTTACAATTGCAGTGCCCCCTGCATATTATGCCCATTTGGCTGCATTTCGGGCAAGGTTTTACATGGAACCCGAGACCTCAGATAGTGGGTCTATGACAAGCGGCGCTGTTGCTGGCCGCGGAATGGGTGGTGGTGGTGCAGGACGAAGCACTCGAGCCCCTGGTGCTAGTGCTGCTGTGAGGCCATTACCTGCTCTTAAGGAGAATGTCAAGAGGGTTATGTTCTATTGCTAATCTAAGATCAATGAATGTTGTTATTATTGAAGCACTATCTCAAGTTATTTTGTTGTGGTTATTGCTTTGAAAGCATCTTAGGATATTGCTCCAGTGTGTTGTCTTACATGCTCTTGTTTGTCTCAAAATAGCTGTCATTGGGGGTTTGGCTTTGATCCAAACTATGTTAACATTGCAAGTCATTTATGACTTTGTTGTCACCGTAAAGAAATCTATAATTTAGATGAGTAATGGAATGGAGAAGTTGAAATTAAGTTCTTAATCTTTCAAAATCTTTCTGGATTAATTGGGAATTTGGACATGGATAATGTTGTAATTTCAGTTCCGGTTTTTATTGTAGTTGTGTTTACACAATCGTTTTAATTATGTTAGAAATTTGGAGCTTTATCAAGAAGTCTTTGTCAGATGTTTATTATTCATTATTTGCTTCGTCAGGTATGCAGTATAGGATCTAAGATTAGATATAAAATGAATTGCCAACGTAAACAACTTTTGCATTAAATAAATTATCATCATCCTTCATTTCATATTATATTTTCTTAGGTGGTATTTTTTTTAGCATAAATAATTAAAAAGGTTTTACTAAGTATTTACAAATAATTTTTTTTAATAAAAAAATATAGTTATTGTATTGAAGTTATAAAAATATAATAAATATTTATTTTAATAAAATTTTATTATTATTTGAATTTAACAAAATTTATAATTAAAATACGTTAATTTCAAGTTTTGCATGGCTTATTTTTCGTTCTTTTTCCTTTTTACTTTGAATTTTGGGTTAATAATACTTCACACGAGTTTAACAATCGTGTAACTTCTATTTTGTTTGCGTCTTCGAAATTTTTAATTACAAGTTAAAAAGATTTAGATGATTTTGTAAGTTGAGATTTGGACTTGATATGCTCAATCATGAGACTATTTAGGTCAACTATGATAGATTTAGTGGCTGATCGAATTGGTTGAAAAATTAAATTATTTGAATAATTAGTCATATCTAATTATATAAATTGTTTCAATATGTTAAATAAAAAATAGTTTTGAAACAATCTCTTGTTTTGATAGAATAAAATAGCTATGTTGAAATTATTGAAAAAATGAGGTTACGTGTAATAGTTAGTTTTGTATTAATAATTATTAAAAACTGACATTTTAAAGTTAATTTGAAATTAAGTATCTTAAATAAGTTATTACTTCTGCAAAAATATTAATTAAAGATTATAAACTGATTAATTAAATTTGCTAACAAAGAATGAATAATATTTACAGTTCTTTTTATACTTAACAAAAATAATCTGTGTGTAAAAAAAAAAGTTAAGAAAAGCTAAGTTTATGTTTGAATTTTTTCATATTTTTAATGCACGCTGTATGTGTATATTTTAGTTCAAAGCAGAGATAGGTTAAGCCAACTTTGAATAAATGAAGTTCCCGTAAGAGAAAAAGTTAGTATAAAAAATAAATAAATCTTCTTTTAAAGAACTCATGCTTTTCTATTTTTTAAGAATTTTTTTATTTAATTTCTTTAAAATTTTAAGAAATAAGTTATTTTTAACCTAAAAGAAAATTTTATTTATTTATTTATTCTCAAATAAAGACTTGAATAAAAGTTTATCCAAATATGAATGGAGATTTGTAATTTATTTAGAGTATACCTGTTTGGATTAATCATAGAATTGTTCTAATCTGATCTTAACTGAATGTATATAGATTTAATTGGATTAGATACTGGTATTTTATTCTTAAAGTTGTAAACAAATTGTAAGTTCTGCAACTAATTTGTATAAATTTGCATGTTTTGTAGTATAATACAAATTGTTATGCATATGTTACCTATAAAAATAAACTGAGTTATATTCTTTATACAACAAATTCATATAATATATTTTATAATATAATTTTCTACCTCTTTATTGTATCAATCGTTATATCTCAAATTTTTATCTCTTTTTTTAATGTAGTTTTTTTTAATTGATTCTCAATATTATAAAAATTGACTACGTATACATGAACAATTAATTAAAGATACTTTCTACCGTGCTCTTAAATTTGAGAATATATTAAATACTTTTTTTAATTATATTACGATATTAAAAGATATTTATATTTTTTTTAAATATACCACTAATTATGTTAGTAAAATCAACTGTTATGATTGTTTCATTTCATGTCTATAAGAATATAAAATACTTCTTCATTTTTCAGATTATTATAAAATTCACCTCATGTTTTGTTAATATCGTAGTAATAATTTTTTGTTATTGAACAAGTTATTGGATATGCCACAATCATTATACATACTAATTTTATTCATAAAATTATTTAATAAAGTTCACAATTTTCTTGAAGGATTTAATTCTTTTAGGAAAAAGACATATATTGTACCTGCCAATGACTACGTTGATTATTTGTGCACATTTCGATGCCAAAACACATACAACAAGTTAGTATATTTTTTAATTCTTTGATAAACTTGTGTTTGATACGATATTGAAGTTTTTTTCCCTCTAAAATAAATAAAGGAGTTAAAAATATGAACCAACGCAATCGATTTTGTGCTATAATTTGCATTATAGAAAGATTAGCTTTTAGTTAAAAAACTGCTCAAGAACAACGTGTGCATTTGAGGTGGAATAAAGAAAAGAACAACCTCAGAGAAAAACTTCATTTTCCTTAAACATTCTTTGCCTCCACTTTTAAATCAAATGACACAAAGCGCAATCTATATTTTGCTTTCTCCACCATTCTCATATTTCATATATTCTTTCCTTCCTATCACCCTTTCTTTCAGACAAATGATAACAAACATTCATTTTTATATCCAATATAAATACCATTTCCATGCCATCCAAAACAACATGCAGAAAACTACCCTTTCTTAATTTCATTTAGTTTTTGCCACTAAGTAATTGTTTTGTTTCCATCAAATGGCTTCTACCTTGAAAAGATCAGATTCAATCACAGATAGCATGCCTGATGCCTTGAGGCAAAGCCGTTTCCATATGAAGAAATGCTTTGCTAGGTACTATATATTATGTCATGTCATACTCAAAATGAGTTTCATATTTCAACACTTTGGCTCTTTCATTTCCTTAAGGTTTTTCATGTGAGGAAAATATGAAACAGGTTTGTTGCAAGTGGGAAAAGGTTAATGAAACATCAACATATAATGGAGGATGTGGAGAGAACAGTTGAAGACAAAGTTGAGATGAAAAAGCTTTTAGAGGGCATGTTGGGTTACATCCTCAGTAGCACTCAGGTATAATTTCATAGCTAATAATAATTTGACTCTTTCCAGAAAAGACAAAACTTAAGTGCACTTTCTCAAATGCATACATTTACCAATCAAAATTAGAGTTTTATTTCGACAATAAGTGATAACATTAAATATGAATATTTTATTAAAAAATATTAATTTTAATTGGTAAACAATTCTAATAGCACTTAAAAAATAGCCCATCAGTTTTGTCCTTGCTAAACTCACAGGAGCATAACTTTTGGAACAAATTGGTTTTGTGTTCAGGAAGCAGCTGTTGTGCCACCATATGTTGCTTTTGCAGTGAGGCCTAATCCTGGCTTTTGGGAATTTGTGAAAGTGAATGCAGACGATTTGCAAGTAGAAGGCATTGAGGTTGTGGAATACTTGAAGTACAAAGAAATGATATTTGATGAGAAATGGTAAATGGTACTTTTTGATAACCATTTTGGCTAGCCATGTTGCTTAGTTTGTGCCAACGGTAAGTGCAAATGCTGAATAGACTTGAATGTGCAGGGCTAGTGATGCAAATGCTTTGGAGCTAGATTTTGAAGCTATTGATTTCACCACCCCTCGCATGGCTCTTTCTTCTTCTATTGGCAATGGTCTAAACTTCACCACTAAGATCTTGACCTCAAGATTGAGTGAAAGCACTCACTCAAATCCATTGCTTGATTACTTGTTGAGCCTTAACCATCAAGGAGAGGTAAGGAAAGGCATGAGAGTATCAAATATTGAAATTTATACAAATGAAAAAGTCCATAAAAATGATCTTGTATTTTGTAATAATGGAAAAATAGTGTTTGACAACAGTGACTTCATATTTCTTTTTATCAATGTGCAGAGTTTTATGATCAATGACACCTTGAATACCATGCCAAAGCTTCAGCAAGCATTGAAAATAGCTGAAGCGTATGTATCTGCACTCCACAAAGACACACCATACCAGAAATTTGAAGACAGGTCAGCATCTAACTCTTTTACTTTATGCCTCCATTTTAATAATAATGAATGAGCATGCATGAAAAGATTGGGAAAAGGTTAAGAAAATTCAATCTGATGTCATTAGAGTACCAACTTATATCTCCTTAGAAGATTTCTATTGGGCCTGTGAGATGCTTTATTTGATTTATGTTAAAAAGTATTTTGAAGATGATAACGAATTAGCATTATTATTATTTTCTTTATTTTATCTTCCTAAGATATGATCCAAGTATTTTAGCTTTCTATTTCTGACTCGCTTACTTTCTTCTAAGAGTAATACATCAATTTAGTTCTTAAAATATTTGATAATTTTAAAGATTAAAAGTGGTCCATGCTTACAATTTTAAAGACTAATCTGGTGATTACTCTTCTTTTTAAGTTTTCTTGGGGAACCCATATGAAGAAGGAAAGAACTACTTACATGATTGACAATTTCTATCTATTACTTTCAACAGGTTCAAGGAATGGGGATTCGATAAAGGGTGGGGAAACACTGCAGGAAGGGTTAAAGAGACAATGAGAATGCTTTCTGAGGTACTAGAAGCAGCAGACCCAGTGAAATTGGAATCACTTTTCAGTAGGGTTCCAAATATGTTCAACATTGTTATTTTCTCTGTTCATGGATACTTTGGCCAAGCAGATGTCCTTGGATTGCCAGATACTGGAGGCCAGGTGTGAATTCCTCCGCTTCAATGATTCAATATTGAAAAATCAAAATGCTAAATAGTCTAAACTTTGTTCCTGAATTTTTTAATGAATGAATTGGCATGCTAAGCTCAATAACTCCAAAGTGTGAGTTTCAAAACTAAACAAAATAATGTTTAACCATGAATCAATATAGAAGTTATAACTTGTAGCGTTGAATGAATGAACACTTGAGTAGATTTGACGTCAATCAAAACACACATGTATGACTGGTCTTTACCATATTATTATCTAATGACCACCCTTGAATCTAGCTGAATTTTGTTACGATTATGTTTTTCTAAGATTGTGTAACATTACACCAACATATAAAATTGGGATTTTCTGAACTGAAAAATCCTTTCCTTTCTTTTTATGGGGTTGCTTTTTCTGATAGGTGGTATATATTCTTGATCAAGTAAAAGCCTTTGAGGAGGAGTTACTCCAAAAGATTGAGCTGCAAGGCCTTAATGTGAAGCCTCAGATTCTTGTGGTAAGCTACTAACTACTAATGACATGTTTGGTCCAACTTAATTTTAGAGAAATACTTGCTTATATTTCAAAAATTCTTTCAGGATATTCAAAGAAATAAGTGATTATTTCTACAAAAATAAGTTGAACTAAACATGCACTTAAATACTAATACAAAAATACAAATTCAGCTTGAAAATATTTCAAAAGTAAAAGGCCAAAAGCCTTCACAATGATCACTTATCTTGTTTTCATCATTCTTGTTCCCTTTTCTTTTGCTTCCTCTATCTTTCAAGGCTTTATAATCATTTTCCATGCACAGGTAACTCGTCTTATACCGGATGCAAGAGGGACCACATGTAACCAAGAAATGGAACCTATCATCAATACTAAGCACTCTCACATTCTTAGAGTCCCTTTCTGGACAGAGAATGGAATTCTTCGCCAATGGGTCTCCCGTTTTGATATCTACCCTTATTTAGAAAGATTTGCTCAGGCATGTATCATCTTATCTACATTTCATTACCCTCTCCTCCATCTTTCATATAAGAGAGGAAGGAGAAGAATAAAGAATGAAACATATAACATGCTTATGTTACTCTCTTTTTTTATGAAAAATGTTGACTTCAATCCATAACCGTGAGTTTAAGCAATTAATAATAATAAAAAGTTTATTAAAAACAAAACATTTATTATACTTTTAAACCTTGAATGTAATAAATGTGTTTTTTCTCGATAAAAATGTTACATTTAGATGCTTAAACTTAAAAACTGAGGTTAAGAATATCCATTTTTTTTATTCATGTATCTTTATCATCAACAGGATGCTACTGCCAAGATTCTTGAACTCATGGAAGAGAAGCCTAACCTCATTATTGGAAATTACACTGATGGAAACTTGGTGTCATCCTTGATGGCTTCTAAACTTGGAGTAACTCAGGTTCATTCAATCTCCTAGCTTGATTTAGCCATAGTAAAAGACTCAGAAATAGACTCATTATTTTCCTATTAACACTACGAACTAAAACTTCTATCCTTAATAATAAATGAAGGCAACCATTGCTCATGCTTTGGAGAAAACCAAATACGAAGATTCAGATGCCAAATGGAAGGAGTTCGATGAGAAGTACCACTTTTCAAGTCAGTTCACTGCTGACATGATTTCAATGAATGCAGCTGATTTTATCATAACTAGCACATACCAAGAGATTGCAGGAAGGTATGCATGTTCTTCTGAATCATACTCGTACATTATTTATAGACTATCTTATGCTTAATAATAATATTATCACCAAGGTAACATTTTCACCATATTGTAATGATCAGCAAGAGCAAGCCAGGACAGTATGAATCCCACACTACATTTACAATGCCTGGACTTTGTCGCGTAGTTTCAGGCATCAATGTGTTTGATCCAAAGCTCAACATTGCTGCCCCTGGAGCTGATCAATCTGTTTACTTCCCTTTCGCCGAGAAAGGGAAGCGATTGATCACATTTCATCCTGCCATTGAAGAACTACTTTATAGTAAGGATGACAGTGAAGAACATATGTAAGTATCATCCCATTCGATTTTATAGCATTGGCAATGTCTCAACAATGGCCTAAATTCAAACTACAATGTGTTTGAACAGAGGATTTTTGGAAGACATGAAGAAACCAATCATTTTCTCAATGGCCAGGCTTGACAAAGTGAAAAACCTTAGTGGCCTAGTTGAGTGGTATGCAAAGAACAAAAGGCTTAGGAGTTTGGTGAACCTTGTGGTTGTTGGAGGATTCTTCAATCCATCCAAATCCAAAGATAGAGAAGAAACTGAAGAGATCAAGAAGATGCATTTCTTGATGAAGGAGTACAATCTTAAGGGTCAGTTCAGGTGGATTGCAGCACAAACCGATCGCCATCGAAACGGAGAGTTGTACCGTTGCATTGCAGATTCAAAGGGAGCTTTTGTGCAACCCGCATTGTATGAAGCATTTGGTCTCACAGTCATTGAGGCAATGAACTGTGGATTGCCTACTTTTGCAACAAATCAAGGAGGACCAGCTGAAATCATAGTTGATGGAGTCTCAGGTTTTCATATTGATCCTTATAATGGAGATGAATCAAGCAACAAGATTGCTGACTTCTTTGAAAAGTGCAAGAATGATTCTGAATATTGGAACAGAATGTCAAAAGCTGGTCTTCAGAGAATCAATGAATGGTAATTCTTAACTAACAAGTGTACTTTTGCAACACTCATGGTTGGATTTCTTAGTATAATTTTTGTGTTCTCCTTGCAGCTATACATGGAAGATATATGCTAACAAAGTATTGAATATGGGATCAGTTTATGGATTTTGGAGAAGGTTGAACAAGGAGCAAAAATTGGCAAAGGAAAGATACATCCATATGTTCTATAATCTTCAATTCAGGAACTTGGTAAGTTTGGGAACTAGTGTTCCTTCAATGTTATAAATTCAAGGTCAATACTTGCATCAACACAATGTCTACAGGCACAACCAATCAAAAGTGCAAGATAATATGAAAATAAAATTTCAATGTAAACTCTATTATTATTATTATTTTAATACATCTTGAGCTATTGATTAGTTGTACTTAAATTCAATAATTATTGAAAATTATGGAAATTTTTCATTTTATTGCAGGCAAGAAAGGTACCCATTCCTAGTGAGCCACCCCAAGAACCTTCACAAATGCCAAAATCTCTTGTTCTAGCCAAAAGATCAGCACCAAAAGCACGTCCTAGTAAAGTTCCAGAGCCTGCAAAATTTGAAGCTCCTCTACCCCGATTAACAGCACTACTACCACCAAAAATTGAAGATCACCCAACACCAAGGCAAGCGTTTATTAATATACTTTCACTAAAAAATTTAATGCACTTCTAACGTGAATTCTAATAAAAATTTTGTAATCAGTGTTTTTAGAGTCCTAGTTAGTAGTTTATACATATATTTAAACCAGCTTTACAAATAAATCAAAGAAAAATGAGCATAAATGAATATTTGCATGAAGTTTTAATATATGGTAAACTACTAAGGATCCGTTTGGAAACACAACTTAATTAAATCTATTTTCAACAAGCTCTTTTTACATAAATGCTTTAGATCATAACTTTGACCATAATTAAAACTTCTTAAAATAACCGAAAAAGAGCTTAATATAATAAGTTATACCAAAAAAAATCATTGAAATAAATTTAAAATTATTTATAAAAAATAAAATTTATTTCTATGAGTTCTTTCAAACGTCTCCCAAATACATTGATATGATCTCAATGAAATTTGTCTAAAGCTATTGCATAATCATCTTGTTATTATGAGCTTCATTTTTTTTTCTTCATTTACAGTGATAAAGATGTGAACAAGGGAACGTCCATTGCAGAAGAAAGTGGTGGATTCTTTGGATTACGTTGGCTGGTTTCCATAATTGCTTTTGTGTTCATCATCCATTACTTCTTTAAGTATTTGGACCATCTGTTCTCATGGGAGCAATAATCGAATCATAATCAAATTTGGATGTAATTTTAGTCTTACCCATTTCTATATTTTTACCTTTGCATTTCAATCTTATTGTAAATCATTTCAGTAGCAAATAAGACATGTCATTTCAACGATGCACGTTGGAATTAGTAAATACAAATTCTATTTCACATGGATTATTCGTCATGTTATGGTGTGTCTTGTATTCTTTTTCTTATCCCAAAATTGCAAATTATACAAAATAATACATACAGATAGGTAGAGATTTCCTTAGAGATGTTAAAAAATTCATTGCTATGGATATGAGAGTAAACTTTTTTTTTTTCCCACAAGGAACAAACATTTACATTACAAGTAAATTTATCTTTACCTTTATCTAAAACTAGATATAGACTTGCAGATTTCAGAAATATATTAAAACAATTTAAAGAAAAATTTAATGGTAATTGAAGATATTGAAAAAAAAATTAAAAAAATACATATATATAACTATCTTTATACTTTAATTCTGTAGTAATATTATGACGATTAAGAATAAAGTTAATGTTCAATTATGTAAAAATAACTTAGATGAATACTGTTCTGTGGAAATTTTGAAGAAATTATCTCTTTAAATAATTAAATTTAGGGTAAATTATATTCACATCTCGTACGTTTTTAGCAACATTTTATTTAATATTTTCTTACATTACTTTGAGTTTTCCTAATTCACATAATTACATAAAAAGTTATAATTTTTATAATTAAGAAAGATATGTGATGTTATCGGTGAATTGTTGAGTGAAATTTTATTTATACCATGAATGTAATCTACTTTTAGTATATGTTTGGTGGACATAATAAAATGATATAAGATAAGCTATCCTATCCTATCTTCTTTTTTATGCTTGTTGATTAATATGATATGATAGTTTTATCTGGTTGAATTATTCTATGCTGTTACCATAGTTCAAGTTTTTATGAGAGGTGTAGGGTTAGGAATCATAAAAATATGATTTTTTTTTCTATTGCATTCTTACTCATACTTCTTACCCTTTTAAAATGTTTTATAAGAAATGATTGTTTTTAAAAATATTAATTTTAATATTTTAAAAAACTATATATATTTTTAAAAATCTATAATTTTTTTAAGAAAAGCATATTAATATTAAAAATATTTGTAAAAATTATTTCAATCATTTTATAAAATACATTTTTATTTTTGGTTCTAATTATAATTTATTTCCTAAAAATAAATTTTAATTGTAAAAAAATTGAATAAAACTACTATAATTTAATATCGAATTTAATATTTTATGTACATAATTTTTTAATTTTAATATATATTAGAAACTAAAATATTTAATTAAAAATTATTTTAAAAAAGTATATTAATTTTAATAAAATAATAATTTTATATTTAAATATAATTTATATTATGTTATATTATTTTTTATTTAACAAAAATATTAAAAGTAATGACATAATGCTATCTATTTTACTATTATGATTTACACAAAATATAGAATAAAAAAACTTATTTTTCTCTTGTTATATCTTATTTTTATCCATTTTTTGTTTTATAATTTTCTTATGCTATCTTATTCACTAAAAGAGCCCTTAAATTTATTAGTTTAACTCATTAATAATTTCTTTAATGTCTAAAAATATTAAAAAAAAACACTGATCCCCAAGATTTCTCTGACTAGTTTGTGGAGAATAAAGAGAGCTAATAGATAACTAAAATTGTTTAAATTATTGAATATTATTAAAAAATTAAAAGAAAGAACATTTATAATTTTATTAGATGCTTACTTATAAAATGTTTCAAAAGAGTAATGTGATAAATTTGTGAGGAAAAAAAAAGTCAGTAAATAATAAATAATCGCATGAAGAAATGTGTAAAAAAAGGAAAATGATGGATAGATTAAGTGAAGAAGAGAGAAAATTAAAGATTCAACAAATAAATAAATAAATAATTTAACACTATTAATAAATGATTGATGTAACAAAAGGTAGCAACATCATAACCCTCTAAACATGCTATTCTCAATTGTCCCTTTCTATTCCTCCCCTTTCATTAAATAATAATAATAATAATAATAATAACAAATATTAAATGTGACTCACAAGGGTTGACTTTCTAAATTTATAGCTAGCTTTGAGTTAGAATAAAATACAATTTATTTTATAAATTATATAAAAATTATCAAAATTAGTTTTAAAGTATATATAAATTGTATTTTTAATAATTTTTTCTTAATACCCTATCAATACTGATTGGTTGAATAAAGAGAAAAATTTTATATCCTATTTAACGTGAAGTTCAGGCTATACTTCATCATGGAAAAAAATTTTAAAATACATTTTTACTAAAAAAAATAATTAATTGACACTGAAATTATAAATTTCCCTGAGATGACTCTAACAATAACAAACAATAAATTTCCGAAAATTTAAAATGCCAAAACGTTAGACACTCTCTGTCAAATTATTGAAACATTTCAACAATCAAAGTATTAATTATCTATGCTCCACTTCTCACGTAATATACTGTCCTTCATAATGCAAAAGTTGATTAATATTTAACTATTTTTTTATATTATATGATAAAAATATTATTTTAAAATAAATTATATTTTAAAATTATTTTATTTTATTAAATTTTTATCATTATGATATATATCATTTGTAATTATATAATTAAGTTAAAATAATTTTTTTAAAATTATTATCTAAAATAATTTTACTATATATAATTATATATAAATTTTAACTTTAATTGTTTAATTTTTATATCATATATATTTATTTCAAAATAAAATACAATCCATTTCACGTGCTACTAATTATAATTATTAAAGAAAGATTTGAGTTCATAATTGTTACATTAAAGAATAACCTAATACACACCAAAGGCTCCAACTGAGACTGGGCTTTACTGGGTCAGACCCAATGCTTTGAAAAGACACTTTTCTATGACATAACTTCTGTTGACCAGAAAAAAAGAATGAATAACTAACTTTTAGAATAAAAGATATATATATCCTTTAGAAAAACTATAAATTATCACTTTAAAATTTGTATCATATGTAACTTAATTTTAAAAAATATTCAGTTTTTAATTTTTTATACTGTATAATAATTTATTTTGGTTAAATATTTCTAAAATATCTTTTTTTTAAAATAAATTATCTTTTTAAAGTTTAAATTATATGAATTTAGCTTTTAAATCGTGTACGAACATTCCTATATATATATTAACTGGTTTTATTGAATATAACTGTTTTAAAGAGAAAAATTTGTTGCTTGACTTAAATATATTGCTTCTAACAAAAAATACTTATGATTACAAAAAAATTACAAATCTTATATTGTAATTATTTATTCTGTAACATTATATTGTTAAGTATTTTAGTGATAAGATTTTATAATTTTTTTTTGTTATCTATAGTTTTTTATTATTTTAGTATTTTAAATCGTATAACATTACTTTATTATTTTAATTTATGAATTATTATTATTTGTAATTTTTGTAATATTATATTGTTAGTATTTTTAAAACTATTTTTATAGCACTTTTCATTTTTATTTTAAAATTCTTATTATCATTATAACATATAATATATGTTTTTTTTAAGGTAATACATTTATTATGATATATCGATAAAAAAATTTTATTGATTTTATTATTGTATAATGTCATCTTACAATAATTGATTTACTTTTACAATATTTTAATGGTATTATTTTAGATTTCTTACATTAATCAGATTATATAATTATTAATCATATTTCAAACTATATAGAAATTGTATTATCATTTTTTACTGTAATAAAATATCGCAATCATTTCTTAACTTTATGATATTATTTTAGTATTATTTCAAAAAAATTATTATTTTGATGCAATATCACTATAAATATTTTTATTCTATTAATTAGTTAAAATCAATAATAAATATTTTTTTTAAATTAATTGTTGCTAAAATTAATTATTTATGCTGATACGACAAATCTTGATTGATAACATTTTTTTTACATTCAGGATATTGTAATTTAAATTTATTTTAATATTGTATTGTAACTCTTATATATAATATTACTTTATCATTTTAAGATATTATTGATTATTGCTTGTATTATTTTAAGAGTTTTATTTTGACAAATTATTAGTATAAAAATCAACTAAATAAAAAATGTTGTGAATATAATTTCATATTAATTATTATAAAAATTAACGATATTTGTCAATCTACAATTGAATGAAAGTATAAAAGTTTTATATTGTTGCATTTAAATTAATTTTATTTTGCTAGTATTTTTAAAACTATTATAACACTCATTGTTTTTATTTTTAAAATATCATATTATTGTTTTATATTTATAACATATTCATATAATATTTTATTAAATTTGTATTATTATCTTTTTCGTTTTACTTATTTTGGACCATTTAATATATATTATTACAATCTTTTTATAATATTTCTTTGTTTACTTTTATTTATTTTTTATGATATTATGTTGTTGGGATTGACGTAACACACACACACACAGAGAGAAGAGCCTTATTATATTGGAAGAGTGAAGATATTGGAAAATTTTTACAAAGTGCATTGTTTGACTGATTTTAAAAATTAATATAAATACAGAAGGAAGAGTAAAAATAACTTCTTCTACCCTACTTTTCCGTATATTATTTCGAGGTCAAATGTGAATTTCGTCGTTTCAGAGATTAATTGCTAACTAAGTTTTGAATCGATCATAATGACTCATTAACATTTATAAATTGTCACATGCAAAATATTACAATAATCATTTTGTAATTATATTAACCCTTCCAAGTGTGTTTGCAGTCCACTAGCTGTGTCAAAATTATAATTTATACCAATTGATTATATTTTTTCCAATCTTTCTTGTCAAAACCAATTGGAAAATTATACACATTCTAAGTTGTGCTAGATACCTTTATCTAGCTATAAATTAAAATATATGTTAAGGTACCAACACAATTTTAATATAATTATTAGATA